ATACAACATTGACTGGTGGGTAATTGGAACGAATTCCATTTTCCTTTTTATAATTCATCTCTGGTTTTAAATTGTTTCTTTTCGGTTTATAATATTTAACGAAAACTGAAATTATTTTTAATAAGATTTATTTGACAATTGTAATAGAGATAAAAAAAAAAATATAAATCTATTTAGAAAGCACATCATAAGTTTAAGAAACAAGTGATGACATGATTATATTAATTTATGGGGAGAAGTACCATCATAGCATTAATATATGCTTAAAATACTAAATATAGCACTGCTATGAGATATTGTAACTCGTGTGGATGCAATTTCAAATTTGTCCTTGCATTTCACACTACCAAAAATGTGTTTATGTTGGTATGCACTTTCAGAACATGGGTATAACACACTACGGTCATACCTAATATAACATGCATTCACAGTGCCATGATCATTCCACACTGGCAAAAAAGATGTTTAAGTTGGTATATACTTCCACAGTGAGCATAACACACTGCCAGAAAGTGTAGTTAAGTATTATAAACCATAACACACCGTCCAAAATATGGGCATAACACACTCCCATAAAGTGTAGACATAACATGACCACGACCATTCCACACTACCAAAAAAAATTTGGAATACACTTCCAATTTCAATTCGTTTATTAGATGTGTTTAAGCAGTGAGGAGTGACACGATGGTTTTAAGTGCTACGCACAAGAAATGAGAGTAACCTTCTAAAAGTATACGAGTATTATAGATCTCAATAAATATGATAAATCAAATAATTAAAGTACTACTCCCTCCGTTCCACAAAACCCTTTCTCTTTCGTTTTTTTGCTTTCCACAAAACACTTCCACTTTCCATTAAAAACCACTTTTATCCCTACTTTTTCATACCCTACGTATCACATCATACTTTTTCACTAATAACCAAACTATCACATCTTACTTTTTTCTCATCACATCAAGGGCAAAATTTGAAAGTCAACCAAAATTTCACTTTCCTTATTTTTCCCCAAAGTAAAAGAACCGGAAGGGTTTTGTGGAACGGAAAGAATACATTATAATAAAAGGATATGATTGGAAGAGATTCACGCCAAATGTGCAAAAAATGTTAATGAGTGCTATATGTGTAATATTGGGTGTCTTAAAGTGCAACATATGGTAATTTCTGTAATTTATGGAATGTGTAGCGAAAATAAAAAAGAAAAATGAATTGGAATGTACTCCGTAGTTAAAACTTGTGATTCATAAAGATACAATATAATCTGGAATTAAAGAAAAAGTACCATTATTACCATATAACTTACTCGATGTACACATTTACATAAAGTCACACGGAGTAATATACATCTAATCACTCGCTCCGTTCTTAAAAATACTTCCTATTTTGAATTTCTTAGGCAAACATGTATACTCTTTAAATACTCCCTCCGTCCAAAATTAAACTTCTCAGTTTGACCGGGCACGCATATTAAGAAAAAATGTAAATGTAGTTGACTTTCCCAAAATACCCCCATCCCTCTAACTTCTTTGGTCGCCCATCTTTCCGGCCTGCCGTCCGCCCTTTCACGTCTTTGGTCTCCCATCCTCCCTACTGTGCTCCATAGCTCTATACACTGGGCCATGAAATACGCACAAGCAATTGGGCAGATCGGACGGCTGCCTTGATGCTCCACCCATACCTCCAATAGTCCCATCACTGCTCTACTGTGTGTCACCTTCGACTGCAGTCTTGCCGCTCCACCGTCACTTCCGCCAACTGCTTCAATTTCAAAAAGAAAAAGGAAGAAACCTGGGGTCTCTACCTTCTAATCCAACATGTGCCTTCAATTGCCGCTCTTTACTCCGTCATTGCTATAGGATGTCGCCATCTCCATCTTCATCTAAGATCTAGATTGGAATCATCAGATCTGTAGAGATATGATACCTCTTCATCAGATCTGTGTATAATGATGATACTGCAAGGTGGAGGAAGAATAAAAGAAAGAAAGAGAGAGAAAAAAAGAAGAAGAAAAGATTGAA